TGATTTCAATTTTAAGATATAAAAACTCATTTCATTTTTATTATATACTATGAATAATATAATATATTTTGAATAAAACCCTTCATGTCAATCAAATGACAGATCAATATTAATAAAATCGCCACTGAATATGCAACAAATGTCATTTACTTTGGTACATATAAGCCATTCATCTAACTTATTATAAATTTTTAATTAACAGCTATGTATCAAACGAGTACATGGATATATATTCTTTAAAAAATACTTAAAGTCCTTCACAATCACAAAGACAAATGATATTTTTCAAAAAGATAAAAAGTTCAAAAATTCAAAAAATTATGTGGCAATCGAAATCAAACAATAATCAAAGTATTGATTTATTCAAACTCAATCAAATATAACTCCATTGGATATTCCTCACTACCCGCTGCAAAGCGCGGGCCAATTATCTAGTTTTATATAAATCGTCAAGTTTTGGGTGGTGGGGGGTGGGGGGTCATGGCCCCTCCTTCGTGTGAGCTAGCCCCGTCCCTTCGCTGTGATTGGGTCTAAGTGTTCTTCAAACAAATGCTTGTTAATTGTTACGATTCTTCCATTGTATCCAGCACATTACAACGAATCGAGTCGACAGGATGATAGAGCTCTTTCCCGCTAGGTAATGCAAGACCCACCTGTGAAGATCAGCTTGGAAGAACACCTCATCGGGCTCGTCGTGAAGCATCTCGGCCCGTGCAGTTCTAGCGTAAGGACAATCCCAAATGACATGCATAGTGATCTCGTTCTACCCACCACTCGCCACTCGGGCAAGTATCCTCAGAAGTCATATGCCGCCTCTGTTTTTTACGGTTAGTCAATAACCTGTGATGGGCTACTGCCTACTAACCAGAAAATCATTCGGACGCGTTGTGTCGCTGGGGTGCGCCAGATGGCTCTCCAGCTCCGGCCGTCAATGCGTAGGCCGTCTTCAAAGAAAATTGGGGCGAGTCGCCAAACTGCAACATCATCTCCGAGCTCATGGGGGGGGCGGAGTGACGATACAGCGGGTTTTAAACAGTAAGTTAAAAGAAAAACAGAAAGTTACATAAAAAAGTATACAATTAAAATCGCTTCCCCTAAACCTCCCCACATATCAATTCGTAATTCTCAAAATCCCCTTCCTTTCTGACAAAAGTGATATATGGCTGCTACTACTACTGCTCTGAAATCAACTACCACGACTGGCTTCCAGCAGCTCAAGAAATCGGATGCCCATTTCTCACCTTCGCACAGACCAGGCTTTGTTTCAGTCAGGAGACTCCGGCAGTCGCCAATGGCAACTCTCACCGCAGCAGCGCCCACAGTTGGTCTAGCCCAAACTTTCTCCAATCTCAAAAGCCAAGGCAAAGTACGCATTTTCCCCGCTCGCCCCTCCATTTTTAATCTCTCTCTCTCTCTTTCGCAGGACGGGTCTCTTTTTGTTTCATTCTTGAACATTTTGTTCTTCTGGGTACCCATTTTGCTTTGTTATATCTGTTATCAGTGTGTTGTATAGATAATGCCGATTGATTAACTATTTCTCTTATTCGTCGAATCTCCGAGCTGGAAAGATATTATTCATATGGCTGTATGAGATTCTGAAACGAATGAAAACATTTTACTCGTATTGGGTGACCTGATTGAGTTGTTTCATGCCTGGTTGGTAGGGGTTTGAAATGGGTGATTTTACTCTGAAAGACTTTTAGGGTTTTAGGCAATGAGAGTTGGGGTGTCGGATTCTGGAGGGGGTACTTTGGTTTAGGATAGCGCGATTTAGATTCTGTAAATCTTTGGGGAAAAAGGTTAGAACTTTTGTCTTAACGAGTAATGTTTGTGCCTTGGAAGGTGGCATTCATCCCATACATAACTGCTGGTGACCCTGACCTTTCAACCACAGCGGAGGCTTTAAAAGTGCTGGATAAGTGTGGTTCTGACATAATTGAGCTTGGTGTTCCGTACTCTGATCCTCTTGCTGATGGCCCAGTTATTCAGGTCTGTTCACTGAATTAGTGCTTCTTAAATGAGTTCTTGAAATGTTCCTTCATTTTTGTTGTTGTTGTTCCTGGTTTCAATTTGCTTACTGGAAATTTTATTGATCTATATAGGCAGCAGCTACACGATCCTTAGCAAGAGGAACCAATTTCGACTCAATCCTATCCATGTTGAAGAAGGTAAGGATGTCTGATTTCCAGAGACTTGGTTTACATTGGTAGAAGTCTTTTATTGTGTATACCATTGTGTAAGATTTTGATGATTGCTTGGAAAATCTTGACCTGTTCCCCTTCCTGAAGAGACTGAGATGTCACGAGTGCTTGATTCTGGCTTCTTTTAAGATTTTGTATTCTTCTAACCCTTCTGCATGAAATGTTCAAAGTCCTGGAACATTTAGCTGACAAAAGATTTCCCGTTTGGGTGAATTGCGCTGATTGGCTGATCTCTGATATTAGTCTTCTGCACTTTACGTGATTGATTTTATGATATGAGAGACTTGGCAACTGTTAGGTGCATAACCTAAAAGTTCAAATCTAATTATAAAAAAAAAAAATTATCAAACAAAGTTCAAATCTGGGTGCTTCCGTGGCAACCTTTGAACTTACACATAGGTTCTGTAACTCATTGCTAATTTGGGGGTCTGCTTTATTAATGAGTTATCTTCATTGACCTTTACTCAAAAACTTTTTTGCTGTTGCACTTTATTATGAAATCTAGAACACGCTGTGGCCTGCACTCTCTGTCCTGTTTCGGTTGCTTCTACTCTTGTTATTCTTCGTCCATCTTCACACGGGCATTCTGTTCAGAGATTTTCGTCAAAATTAACAGGAAGGACCTGAATTTTGATGGTTCATCAAGATTAAAACTTCATCCTTCCTTTATTTTTGCAGTTTCTGGTATACTTGTACTAATTCTGCTGCTGTTGTGCAGGTTGTTCCAGAAATATCTGCCCCAATTGCTTTGTTCACGTACTATAACCCCATTCTGAAGCGCGGTGTTGGACAGTTTATGTCTACTGTGAAGGACACTGGGATACATGGTACTTCCTAATGCCTTGATCTCCTATATTCTCCTTGATCTCTTAAGTGAGCCTCAATACAGCTCTAGAACTGGTTATGTAAAACATTTGTTGGATACCAGATGCTAAATTAGCTCTATGTTTATAATTATTTCGATGATGACTAAGCAAATTTTTATGTTGAAAGGGATTGGCAGTCTTGCCAGTGTCCTAGGATTAGGTTTTTAGCACTTAGTTTCACTTTTAAAGCTTTAGATCTCTGGTATTGCAGTAAAATAAACTGTTGGTAGAATTTTGGCCATCTGTGGTCCTGAATGGCTCTATTTGAATATGATGTTCGTTATACTTATTTGCAGGACTTGTTGTTCCAGATGTTCCTCTAGAAGAGACTGAACTTCTGAGGAAAGAAGCTCTTAAGAATAATATTGAACTGGTTTGTTATCATTCCATAATCAGGACACATTTATCTTTAGATTTCTACATATACTTGATAACCGTAAGTGCTAGAGTTTCAAAAAGCAAGTAATGGTCTCAATGTCAAAATTGATATGGGAACGAAAGCAATCAGATGCAGAGATTCATTTCTTTCAGAGAATATAGTTTAACACTTCTCCGACTAATAGAATCACAGGGACCACCTTACACTTGCATTTTATAGGTACTCCTTACAACACCCACTACTCCAACAGAGCGAATGAAAGCTATAGTGGAAGCTTCTGAGGGATTTATTTATCTTGTAAGGAACCCTTTTAACCGAATCTTCACCATAGATGTATACCTTCCTTGCTTACCCAAAAAAAGTCTTAATCTCCTTTGTTAACAGGTGAGCTCAATTGGAGTGACGGGCGCCCGAGCTTCTGTAAGCACCAAAGTACAAACCCTTCTGCGAGATATAAAAGAGGTGAGATGAGTAATTACAGTTGGGGTTGTACAGACATCCTTCTCGCTCATGGGCAAACAAAAAGGAGTAAATTTTAGTTATTAATTGATAAATCACACTTGATGCAAACCTTTTCTTATTCATGTATCGAGCAATGAGGGTGATTCTGCAGTCTTTGATTTTATAAATATACCCCCGTATGTTACTGTGGCAGGTAACGACTAAGCCGGTAGCTGTAGGTTTTGGCATATCAAGCCCTGAACATGTCCAACAGGTTAGTTAGACTGAGCGTACAATAATCTGAGCGACTACATAACTTGTTGATTCCTACCAGAGCGTTTTATTTTGTTTTGCAGGTGGCAGGATGGGGTGCTGATGGCGTCATTGTAGGCAGCGCAATGGTGAAGCTGTTGGGTGAAGCCAAGTCTCCTGAAGAAGGATTGCTGGAATTAGAGAAGTTCACCAAATCCTTAAAGGCTGCACTTCCATAGAGAAACAACATAGTTTTAGCCTGTAGGCTGTAGGGGATCAATTTTGAATTTTCGCTATTTTTGCTGTTCTTCTGATGTTGGTTTCAGTTCTACTTTCGACATTAAACAAGGTTGAAAGATGTTTCTCTTGAGAGCTTGAACAGTTTTAACGCTCATAGGCACCTCAGTTACTAGAAAACCAAAAACGTTGAAACTTCAATTGCAGATCAAAGTTCATTTGAAGTTGAATCAGTTCTTCAAAATCCGGATGAGGAATGTCAATCCGTAACCATGAGTTTGAGTATCAAGAAGGCAAATGAAGTAATCTTAAAAAAAGGCAATTGAAATCGGTTGGATAACAATAGATGGAAGCACGCTTCATTCTTAGTGCAATATCCAAAACATCCCACTAACAATCTCAGTTGTACCGCGTTATTCCATTACAAATCAACATGAACATAACCCCTAGATTCCATAGTACTGTCGTATAATAATGAATTTAGAGGGTATAGCTAGCAACTTAAAACTGTAGGGCTCTGCATAATCAATCCACAGACGTACAATCGAGAGAAACAGGTGCAAGAAAAAACAAAGCAATCATCGGAAGAGCATCATCCAATCCCATCCAAGTCTTCGCATTTGCTCAACGCCTATCAGAGGCCACTGATTCAGCTGAGAAGAGGTATTTCACTCGTGACAGAACCGAATCCTGTGAAGGATCATAAGGATGATCCTTGGAAGGAATCTCCAAAATTGCTGGAATTGGATTGTTATAGCTGTCGACCAAGAACCTTATCATATTTGCCACCTGGAAGATAAACACCAGGGAGAGAGAGAAACCCGTTACTAACTGTAAATGCTTCAAAACTAACTGAGACGTGAGAAGGACAGGGCACATGCCAACTCCTACAGAGAGCTTAGCAGTATGTCTCTGAGCCCCAAAGTCAACTGTAAGATTGACACTCAGGAAACGCTACTGCACCAATTTGAGAAAGAAAGTAAAGTAGGTCATCAACCTAGGGATAATTCTCAACTGATATGGGTTTGTTCCATGGAAGTGAGGAGTGGACACTGGAACAATCAAAGTAATCCTTCAAGATACAATAAAGTCCACACGGGAAAGAGTGCTTAAACTAAGTAAAATGTTTGACATCTATACCTGCTAGAATCCAAAGAGTTGAAAGTGGAAAGAGCGATAGAAAAGCTGACAGTAGCACAAAAAACGATGAACTTAGCAGTGTGTATCTTCTCTTAGTTAAGGGCATCTCAGTGTGCGTTTTAGGAAAAGCAGTGATCAATACTTTGAACTTCCGACCAAAACTTAATCATCTAAGTGAATTATCAATAAAAAAACAAGAAAGAAGAAAACTTGACTATCAAATGGACAGTAGCTTCCAAACCAGAACAGAACAGGCAGTTTGAATATGCATGCTTCCACCAACAACTATATAGATCACAACCAAATAACATATAAGTGCCAGAAATGACTTACATATTGACTTATCAACACAATTGCAATGTCCTCCCTTGTTGTGAACTCCTTAAATGTGTCTTCCACTTGCTTAACAGTGGTTTCTACAAAGGCGTAATAACTAATAAGAACTTTCATCAGTTGAACTAAATAGTTCTGTACACATGATCCATATTACAACATACTTTACCAGCTATCAACATTTAGTTTCATTCACATTCATCAAAAGGACAAGGATATTTATCTTCATTTAGAAAGGAGAGGGACAAGAGGAAGCTGAAAGTAATATATAACTTTGGCAGACCCCATAAGAAGGAAAGCATAACCTTACACTAAAAACAGAAGTTTGCAGAGTGCAAAAACTTACTCGAGTCCACAATAAGATAATTGGTCTTCCTCCGCAAATCCACATTACCTACACCAGCAAGCAGAAGTCCAACAACCGTATCCTATAAAATTGCACTCAGATCATTAGACAGGTTGAGATGTAACTTACTTAGAAATCATTCACTCTCTTGACCAAGTGATATCTTTCTTCCCACTTGAAAATTACATTCACATAATTTAACACCAAAGTAGATGACTTTCAGAAGAGTTCCGTAACAGAATCTGAGAATTCAAGCTAAAATTCAAATGCCCAATCTTATACATGAAGTTTTATGACGCCCTAGAGTTTAGATTCGACGCCAACCCTCGTACAAAGTTCTCATCACTCACAGACTCCTCATAATTTGATTACTTTCTTTAAATCCACAACTGATTTTAAATTCCTCCAATCAATTTCTTTCACAAAAGAAGAAAAAAGAACACCGCTGTGAATAGAATTTCTTACCTCATCCGCTATCATTGCAATGAGGGCGGAGTCGTTGGTGCGGATTGGAGCTTTATTAGCCATTTTGAGAATGGAGGATCAACTGCAAGAAAAGACAGTTGTGACCACGACGATCTTCCGTAACGAATAATACCAGCACTCCCACACACATATCTGCTTCCTCCAGATCCATTGATCACGCTCCATTCATACATCGCAGAGAAATAAATCCAAAAACAAAAAAACTCCAAAAGCACAGGAAAACCAGATTAAGAAGGGGAAAAGTTAAATTCCCTCTTCCCTGGATGTCATCAGACCTAGATCAAGCTAGCGTTCGTAAGATGCAAACGGAACAAATTTGTGCATCGAATTGATTCCTCAGGCGCTATTCAAAGTTACGAGGTGGGAAGGATGGAAGATTTTACCGTACCTCAATGCTGCGATTCGGAGACTCGTTCGACTGTGGTGGCTCTCAGTCTGATCAAATTTGGTGAAGAGAGAATTGGATCCAGCACCAGAAACTAAAATTACTTCGCGATGAGCAGTGACTGGTGTTTGTCAGAAGATTATGTGGGAGAGAGTCAGAGAGAGAAAGGGAGCCCGTGAAGATTTGTGAAACGGTGACGTTTGTGTATGCGTCTTGCTTCGGCCAAATTTATAGACCCGCATCCCAGGCCAAAAGATGCTATTATTCGGGCATGGCCTTGGTTGTGTACTTGTGTTTAACTTAAGCGTGGTTTGGAAGTTGTGATTGTTAAAATTGTGTTTGTTAAAATTGTGTTTGTTAAATATATGTGTTGTGCATAATACAATGTTTGGAAGTACCAAATTGTAAAACAATGCACGATACACATTGTTTTAGGTAGGTCCCACCAACAATCACAAAAAATGATACATTATACAATCTCAACTAAAAGTTGATATTGTTGCTTTTAGATTTGTGTCAACTTTTTCTTTTCATTTATATTCCTAATAGTTTTTGTCTTATACTAAAAGTTGAGGGTAAATATGACATTTCTCCATAAAAGTAACTTTATGTAAATCAATGCATAAAGTAGAATCTCAACAACCAAACAATGTATTGTTAAAATGCATCCATTGTATCAATACATGCATTTATATTATGGTGATTCGTTACAATGCAACGATTTAACATTCGCAACTTCCAAACAACCCCTTAATTAATACTTTATTTTGGTCCGAATTATTATCATATAATTAACTTTGGCGTGTAGATTCAGAAATTAACATAATGATAACAACTATGCAGCATATAGACTCAATTGGCCCAACACATGGTTTGATCGTCAATTTGGACAGTCAACACAGTTGACCGTTAGTCAACACGTCATGTCATTGCCTCGGCACCTTAAAAATCATTAAAAAATTCAAACTCAAATGATTTTTCTAATTTATATTATTTATCATTTTCAAATTAACCAAAAATAAAATTTTCGTTAATTTATAAAATTTATCATTTTCAAAAAATAAAAAATAAAATTTATTTTATTTTTTGGTTAATGTGATAATGATAAATAATAGAAATTAGAAAAATAATTTGAATTTGAATTTTTTAATGATTTTTAGACTGACGAGTCAATGATATGGCGTGTTGACTAACGATCAATGGTGTTGACCGTCCAAATTGATGGTCAAACCATGTGTCGGGCCAATTGAATCCATATGTTGCTTAGTTGAGGCTCGAATGTTAATTTCTGAAACCACGGGCCAAAGTTGATTATATGGTCATAGTTCGAGCCAAAATAAGGTATTAACCCAACTTTTTATTAATTGCAAACGACATTACTTGTACTTCCGTTGCAATTGCAAATGAGATGATAGATCGTGGGTATCTGATTTTCTACTACACCCTCAATAAGGGCAATCTCCACCAATGGTATCAACTTGGTTAAGCCACTGGCCAGGTCGGGTAAGTGGATTGAGGGCTAATGGTCAAATTATTTTGGTCTGGTATAGCTCAAATAGAAAGAATACAGATCAAAGAAACGAGAAGGAAGAAGAAGAAAATGAAGGAGCAAGGCTAAATGCGAGTTAGTTTTTGCATAGAATATATGCAGACGTGGAAATTTGAAAAAGATGAGGGGATAAGCTATTTTCAAACACCACATATGTGGGGTTTTAAAATTGTTTGGATCCAAAATCTATAATTTATTTAGTCCTTCCCAAATGAGACTTTTTGCTCAAATCCTGCAGATTGAGGAGTTCTGTTGAAATCCTGCATATATTTCCCTCGTCCAAACTAGGGGTGTAATCATGATCCTGAAGCCATTGATCGGTCCCGTCCCCGACCCATCCTGTTTTTTAGGGCCTGACTCGCCACGAGTACACCACGATCTAAATCCCGACTAGATCTCAAGTATAAAATCTAGCTGGGTGCAGTATATGGCAAATATGTTTTAATTGTCAACCCGAACTGGTCCATGTACCCCTACTTCAATAGCTTAGGTTGTTATCTAGCAAAACGGTTTTGGTTTTAAAACTAAGAAAGACTACAAAATAAATAACCAAGTAAAGTAAATTGTGGAGAATTCTATACGAGAGGACCTCACTTGGGTATTGCTTCCCTTAGTCTCGTGCTAAGAAACAATAAACGAAACCCTAGTGTGAAGGATGTGCTCATATATCGTGAGGCGTGTGCAACAAGCTAGGAGCAAACCGTCCAAGGTCGATCAATCAAAGATTGCTACAAAAAGCTAGGGAACCTAGATCTCTTGTCCGATCGACGAAGAAAACCCTAACTCTCTTAGTTGACCAATTAAGGATTGTCACAATAGGTTAGTAGACTAACTCTCTTAACCTTTCGGCCAAGGATTGCGACAATAGACTAGGCAATCTAACCCTCTTAACTAATCAACTAAGGAATGCAAACCAATCCCTTGAAACTTAATCTGGACGGCGGAGAGACCAATCATGAAAAAATCATGGTACTACTCTGATACTTGAGGTAATAGCCCTAGATTAACCTAAAAGGGGTTACCCAAGAGGCTAGGAGGTCGAGCTCCCTATGGGCCAAAGGGGGATTTCCACCCTCTAGGTTAATTTGACCAATAATGAGATAATGCAAGCAACACTCAATCATTCACGATTAATAACTCAAATATTATATAAAACACTCAATCAACACAATAGAATCAAGTTCTTACATCCTCACACACATCTAGACTATGATTCACAATACCCAAATGATTAGGTGGGCTATTCCATAGCTAGGCAAAGAACCATGAATATATGACAATCTTCCTTCCTCCTTGCTTGAATATCCCTTGAGAAGTAAGAATCTTCACTATTCTAGCTTAGGGTAAGCCCAAATCTCATTCTTCCTCCTTTGAATGGCACACTCTCTCTAGAATGGGAAGAGGAAACCTTAATCTCTCACTAGAAACCCTCTTTTATTCTACACACTAAAAACATACCAAAAGCTCCTCCTTCTCCTTCAGCTCCCTTCTCCTTTTATACACAAGTCGCGCCCAGTTCACGATCCCAGTTCACGATCATGACTCGTGAACATCAAGCGTAGACCGTGAACTCGAACCAATTTGCACCGTTTCTTAGTTGGTTCACGGTCTAGGGCTTTAGTTCACGGTCTTGCGACTGTGAACTTACTCGATGCCAGTAACCTATAGAAATGTTCTGGAAGCACAAAAGTTTTTTCACTTCTTCGCGCTCTTCGACCTCCAATCGACCTGAAACTCGTCCTCGACCTTCTCACACGTGCTAGGACTTGAAATATGACAAAACAAGCACACCCTAGCATAAAATAGATCGAGAGACGATGAAATGCCAAGTCAAACTATCAAGCAATGAGGTGGGTAATATGTGTGCATTTAGACCCGAATCAGGGTCGAGACGGGTCAGTTTGTCTACAAGGCCAGACTAGGGACAGGTAATTTGTTGACCCTGTAAGGGTTTGGACAGGTTGGGACGACAACGTAGAGACGGGTCACTTTTGACCCTATGACCCTAGCAAAAATGAGTGATATGAATTTCTCATACCAACACATGGGACTTATTTGTAAAGTTTTAAAAATTAGCTATTATATTGAAAAATAGAAAATATAAAGGTACTAAAACATAATTTTTCCATCAAATTTTCTGGACCTATTTGTAAAAAATGTAATTTAGGTACCAAATTGTAAGAAAAAATAAATTTTGGTACTAAAATATAATTTTTAAATAATCTTTGTTTTAATTTGAGCCGACCCGCATTGATCGGTCCCGACCCGACCCTAGAGTGTCAAATAGGGACGAGATGGGTCAGTTATACAAGTTGACTATTCAGGAACGAGTCGGGACGGGTCAGGCCAATTTACAACCTTAATCCAAACGACCATTTGAGTTCATTTAAAATAATAAGGTTTATTGTTAGGGTTGGAGAAATAAACCACACCGTTTGAAAAACTATGGACAAACCAGACCACACAGTTTGGGTCCGAGCTGTAGACCATTAAGAATGATATGGTATGACCCCTGATCTATATTTTCCGGTGGTAGCGCCAACTTTGTGATGTTTGTCGGACTATTTTGTAATGTTTGTATCAATTTAGTTTGTATCGTTTATCATTCTAGTTTGTCATTTTTATTTATTATGTTTGTAATGTTTATATGACTAGTTTGCATACATGGTAATTTGTAATGTTTGTTTGTCTAGTAGTTTGTGTACTTTATGTTGTGATTTGTATACTTTGTATTCATTGATTTGTAATACAAGTTTACTGTTTTGTATTGTAAGTAGTGGCATTTTGTACTGTTACCTGTTAGTATGTTTTGAATGTTTGGCAGTCTAGTTTATATTGTTTGTATAGTTCGCATGTTTCGTATTGTTTGTAAATATGTTTATATGTTTTGTCACTCTAATTTGTATTGTTCGTATGTTTGTATGATTTGTACTGTTTGTAAGCACGGTTTGTATACTTAATAAATTTTCATAATACCGAAACTGTCTCTGTTATTAATTAAAAAACATTTCCCATTTTTTAACCGTCAGATTGATGTGTCTATATTTAAAAACGGGTAGGGGTTCAGTCAAGTAACTAAGCAACTCCCCTAGTTAGAGGATCGGACCTCTGGTCCGGTCTGATTCTGTTTGGTCAAACTATTAGGCAGCTCGGCTCCAATTTACCCCGAGTCCCCGACCTAAACTAACCGCCATAAGTTTTTGGCCAAAATTACAAACCTACACAATTTCCCCCCATTCGTTCTTATCGGAACAAACGCTGACGATTCCCCTTTCCCTTTCAAATTTCATGACCGTCTCTCTCTGCCCTTCTTCACAACCGAGCTCGCATCCCTCTTCCCTCCTGCAACATATGAACCCTACCCTGGCGCCGGTGGATATCAAGTACACAGAGCACCGCACCGTTACTCGCAAGATCGCCCAGCATCCCGAGGTCCCAATCGCGAAGAAAATCGTCCGAATCTCCGTCACAGATGGGGACGCGACGGACTCCTCGGGGGACGAGAACGAGGAACGCGGAGGCGGACGGGTGAAGGAACGGGCTCGTCGCCGGCAGCAGCAGCACCAGCGAGTGAAGAAGCACATCCAGGAGATCAGAATCCAAGACTCCGAGGCGATTTTGGACCACAACCAGCTGCAGGGCAAGGAGAATTTGGGCGTTCAGGAGAGAATAAGCGGCAGTCCTGTTCTAATTAGGGCGAAATACCGAGGGGTCAGGCGGCGGCCATGGGGGAGATGGGCGGCGGAGATCAGGGACCCCACCCGACGGCGGAGAATTTGGCTGGGGACCTTCGACACGGCGGAGGAGGCTGCTAAGGTCTACGACGCGGCTGCGATTCGGATTAGAGGCGCCCACGCCTTTACCAATTTGGTCAAGCCACCTGCCGACGGGAAGGGATTGGAGACCCCGCCGCCGGGTTCCACTGTTTCTGGATCCGATTCCGGCAACGAATCTGTCAGCTGTGTGATGAATTCGTCGTTGGTTGAGGAAGGAGAGATGGGTGGACTGTAAACAATCAGATTAACTTTCCCTTTCCCTTTGTTTTTTTTTTCTTTTTTCTTTTTTTGCTTCCTTCCTTGGACGTGAGGGCAGAAAAATTAAGGTGTATATGGTTTGTGAAAATATCTAAAAATTGCAATCTGACTTTGTTATTATTATTATTTTTTTGTTAATGAGGTCCAGAAGTTGTATGAGCAAAATTCTATTCTATTGAGGTGTTTTCAGCAACCCAATTATGGACGTGTTCACAAAACATTTTAATCGTTGAATCTCAGGTTGCGAGCTTCACAATCGTTGGATACAAACGATAAGTGAGTATAAGAAAATTAGATGTGATTGAACAAATTTAATCATTTCATTGGTTTAGTTTAAACCTTGATGTTCTTTTTGGTTTCCAAATTTTTAACAATGTTGCGTTCCTCTCTCTCCTGCCCATATACTTGTACAGATCTCACATCCACAAAATTCCAGCTTTGCACATTAACGAACCAGAACCAGGCATCAATAGATGCTTTCTTAGTTGGAATATATTCCGTTTCTATAAAAGAAAAACAAAGGTGCTTCTTGGGATAACAGAAAGAGAAAAAGGCACTCTATAAGATGAACTAATACTTTATAAGTTAACCATGTCTCAATTGATTACTTTATCACATCTTGCCAATTATAATCTATCCCATTTGCTATAAGGATTGACAACTCTACCCCCATTTGCTAGTAATCCAACCCTATCCAGCCAAGCCAACAAAGAGAAATCTCACATTAATCAGATATGAAAGGGTATATGGATAGTACATGTGAAGAAAACAATGGATTTAGGTGTCCCTGCCTCATTCTCATCCCCTCATCTTATACCACCTACACTCAGTTATATATCATATGATCCATTCCTCCTCCATCCATCACTCAAATTCCAAAACAATCCAATTTTAAACTCCTTAAGTTCAATTTTCCAAATCAAACAAGATATAGTCAACACCTTTAACATCCCCAAACAATCTAAGGTTTTGCTTGAAAATAAAAAAAAGTTTATCATGATTACATTAACTCTCAGAGTTGGTCTGTGGAGACTTAAAACTCATAGCCCTTGTTTTTATACAGATACGTCTCTTATTACTTTTTATCCTATTAACCAACGTCTCTTATTACTTTTTATCCTATTAACCAACTATCCCAGACACGTATGGTATCATCAATGAACGAGAATAATAAAAAAACCAATTATGACATTCGAGATATTGAGAACTCAAATATGAGGAGTTTTTAAAGTCAATTGGTTAATAAATTCAATGAACAACAAGACTTTTCAACCTTTAAGGATTTTGAAAATGTAATTGCTTTGGATAACTTTAAGACCGATTCTTCTATAAGAGAAGCTTTATGGTTATTGTGATTGGTTAGTTCATGTATATTATGTCTATTTAATGTTTGAGCTCTAAAATCATGCATATTCTTAACTCAATTACAATTATCCTAAATTCAATTTGTGCGAGATGTGAGGGCGAGGATTATCCATGGTATCCAAAAACTGTGGGAATGAGGATAAAAAAACTTCCACACACACGGAGACAGAGAGGACAAGGATTTAGAAATGGAAAATGGAGATGTGTTCAAGACAAAATCCATACCAAACCCGTCCTACTGTTATCCCTATGTGTTATAGGCATGGTCCATGAAACCGTACCGGAGACCGTACCGGAAAAGTCAGCGATAGGGTATTTTATGACAAAATCGTGGTTTAACCGTAGTTCAACCGTTAGTACCGTTAAATACCGTCTATCGGTTTAGCCTCTGATACTGGTATTTTGTGGTTGAACCGTCGGTACGGTACAGTTTAATGGACCATGGTTATAGGTCATTTTAAAAGTGGATTCTCTAAACCATTATTTTTACGGGTTTGATTCTCACTGCCTATCATTAAAAAAAAACCTTTTCGCAACCACTAACAAGACTACAAGATCAAATCCTTTTCGATTGTTTACGAGGTCCAAAATTGTCAAATTGAGTTGCGAAATTGAGAACAATAAACACGAGACAAAAGTCTTCTAACGTGGTATCATCAGGATGACACTAGTTTACGAAGAGGATCACCCTCTAAGATTTTTCGTATTAGATTTTGGTTAAAAGGCTCAATGCAACCGTGTACAATATTTATAATTTCCACCACAAACTTTAGCAACAACTCAGATGTACAATTACAAAAGGCTCCTCCTTAATTAACATCCTCCCTCAAATTGACATTGAGTACGCAACATCAATTTGTATGAAAGTTACGAGTGTCTACTTGATGCAACTGTCTATGTCAACAAATCTGTTGTTTGATCTTCTATGGTCAAATAACTGAGCTGTATAACTACTTCTGCCACCAACTGACGTATGTAATGTAGATTTACCTCTATATGCTTGTTACACTAATGTAAAATTGGATTAATTACCATATGTGTTGCACTTGAGTTATCTCCATGGAGCTTCATAGGTATTCGACACTTGACCTCCAACTCAAAAAGCACCCGTTGCAGCCAAATAAGTTTAAAAATAGCTTATGAGATTGACCTGTGCTCGACTTCAGTTAATGATTTCGAAACTTTGTCTTCTTTGCGACACCTTCATGAGACAAGAAAATTGCCAAATGAATACACCAGCATGATGTAGACTTCTTAGTGTCAAGGCAACCTGCAAAAGTGACATATGCTAAGGCCTCAATTGTTGGATCAGCTTTCGCAGGAAAGAACAACCCCACATAAAAGATTAGGACTTTGCTATGGTGACTTGCAAGTCACCGTGACTTGAAAGAGGTCGATCTATTTTCTCCAAGTTACAGTGACTTGCAAGTCACCACAAGCATACCCAAAAGATTATTGTCTTTTATTGTTCCAATTATATCATCATTTCTTTTTTGTAAACCCCAAACTACCCTCTAATTTTTAGTCCCTCCTTTTGTATCTTGCTCTCCAATTATCCCCATAAGGCCATATCCATTATTTGATTGCACCTCTTACCTTAATCATGCTTGACGCTAATACAAATTCAATATGTATTGAAACACTCTTTTATTAAAAATAAAGTATAACTCCATACAAATTTTTACCATCTAAAATTTACCTTTTGATATTTTATAAAATATTTGATTATTTTAACACACTTTATATTAAAATGATGTTTTGAACTACATACATACTAATACTGTACCATATGCATGTTGACCAAGTATGCACACAAGATAGCAAGACATAATATTAAGAAGGACAAATTGGTAAAATAAAAAATTTGAGTGCAAATAGCACATCAATAATACCACTACTTATAATTCATCCAAACGTGATATTCATACATGTACCACATAAAAAATAATATGTATTGTGGGGAGAGGTTACGGTGATTACTTAGTATTAGTAATCACCGTGGCTACTAGGGATAGAAATGGTATTTTGTGTTCATTACAATCATTACTATCATATTAATTACGTGTATGATTTACGTGTATGATTGGGATAGATAATTACGGAAAGTAATTATTGGACAATTAAACTACTATATGGTTCTGCGAGATCAAGACAGAAGGAAGAAAAAGGTAATCAATACCACAACAAACAAAACGGTGTATGCATGATAAAATGAAAAAAAGGTAACCAATACCATTCCATAAAATTAGAACAATATCATTGCACATATAACAATGAACACTACCATACCACACAGGCAGATCACTAACAAAGTGGTCATATAACTACCAAAATGATAGATCACTACCAATGCATGCCAGTCTCACCAAAAGCGCACACACATACTATTGCAAGATCAAATAACAGTGCAACCCATCTTGACCACAACCATTGCAAGATCAAATAACATACCAATCCACCAAAATATCACTACCATTTTAAGATCACTACCAATGTGCAGATAACTACCAAAATGGTAGATCACTACCAATACATACAAATCTCACTGCCAATATTCGGTAGAAGGTGTTGTCAACTACGCTGGGAATTGAGAAGAAGACGCCAGAGAGGTGAAATCAACCTCGCTGGTGCGCTGATAGGGCAAAAGCGTATGCCTTAATCCTATCTCGTAGTAAACCGGAAAGTCCGGGTATCGTCTCTCAGGGACTGGTACAACCTTAAATTTTATCAAGTTTGTAGAGCAAACTATAGGTGAAAATGGTTTAATGAGATTATTAACTACTAGCAAAATAATTAAACTAATTAAGCAAAGTAAAATGGTCGGGAGAAAATGGGAGAAAGCTCTGGGAGAAACACCGGGATTCACTACCTATCCTATCCAGATTAATTCACATATTCCAATCAATTTAATCCAACTCTCTATAGCCAGGATATCACGAATGTGCTAGCTATCCCTGTCGGGAATTACTACGTACTAAACAATTAAATCAAATCCTACTGTGTAGCTCAATGACTTAATTATTTAGCCTGAAGACCGATATCCTATTTAAGACCGCATAGCACCTTATTTAATCCACTGTCGCTTCGATAAGTTACTATGTCACATGAAATATGTTCAGTTAATAGGGTTTCACTGTCGCTAATAACCTAATTAACTACAAATCAATGTATTGGTGGCCAGTCAACACAAAGCATTAAGTAATTTCATGCAATAGAGATTGGAAGAAAAGAACTATGAATCAATCATTCAATTCTAGAAATAGCTACGTCCTATGGTGTTTCCCCCAGAAATTGGGGTTTAGTTCATGACGAAATCAAAAGATATAATCATGTTTTTAATCATCATGAAACTAGTAACGAGAAGAAGAGAAAATACTGATACAAAATAAATCGCAAATTCTGATTTTCACTCCAATTGGCGCTGCTACTGGTGGGCTTCAATTGCTGCTCGCGCTCTTCTCCTCTCGGCGCTGCTCAAATCTTCTATCGCCTCTCTCCCGGAACCAAAAAAAGAATTCCCCTCCGGTCCCACCTCTCCAATTGCGTGTCCCAAGCTGCTGTCGCGCCCTGCTTTTTTTCTTTCGCCCCAAAATAACAAAAGAGACCCCCAATTAATTGATGTGTCTCGCTCCTTTCTTCTTTTTTCCTTTTTCCAAGAATTTCGCCCTCCAATTTTAATCCCCTGGTCCAGCCAATTCCGTGTCCACCTAGTAGAATTTCATGGCCCAGAATAAATGGCCGCCCTCTCCCTCCATAAAGGCCCAAATCTCCTCGTCCCAAACAAGTCCAATTCCGCCAGCATTAATTGAAAGTCCCATCAATTTGGGCTTTGGCACAATTATTTGTTGTGGAAGAAATGTGGATCCAATTCCTCTCGCCATCTCCTGCTTCGGAAGTTCCAGTGCTGCCATTTTATCTATCTTTTCACCTAAACACACACCAAAACTCCAACACAAAATGGTAATGGCTTTTCAACCATTACGGATTAATTCTCCCTATAATAACATAAATCGGCTTAAACATACCATGAAATAGTCACATAAAACTCACGAATCTGATATATTAAAGGCGAATATCAGAACCCCACACTCAATTGTTGCTTGTCCCTAAGCAACGACTCAAACAACACAAACACATAATCATCCAAAATAATGAAACAACACAGACTCACTAATCAAACACTCAAAGCAAAACACAAAATTTCCTTGTAATCTTGTTGTAATCAGTAGTTTCTTTCTCAACGGATAAGTTGTGCTCTAATGGTCATACCTTTCACCCCACACTCAAGGTCTTTGCAACCCTTAACCATTGACTGACTCAAATCCATCCAAAAACTCAAATAGCAACACTCAATTTCGATCGTCAATAGTGGGTGGTTAACAACTTATGGTGCAACAATTATTAGGAGAATCTAACCACATCAGTGAGGTGCATATCTCGTGAGGACAATTTGGCTTACTCACACCAATCATAAGCAATTAATTAAGCATGAGTCTCAAAAACTAATGGGGGAAGCACATCACTAACTTTTATGACAAGGAGAAGCTTTCTCTCTTTCTGATTTTGCTTGCCGAGTGGTCGTATTTAGTACAAGTGGGATTTGTTTCTTACTACCGGTGACCGAGCAAGAGCAATTTCTGCTTCTTAGCACTCGCATAAGGGCTTCTTTTAACTCCTTTTCCTCGGTCCGTGTGGAGGGTCATTGCACATCCTCTAATGGCACTTCACTCAACTGGGGATTGTACTTGATAAGCAACATCGTACGGTCGCGAACCGATTCTCAATTGAATCTTTCCTAATCCCCATGTGCAATGAGTGATTGCCTCACACGATTTTGGCATTTTTACCCACACTTTAATTGTTATGGCAACTTCCTTATATTTTACTTGTCAGGTAGTGTTTTCTTTTATGAAGATACAGTTCACCCCATCATAAAACAATCAAAACAGAGACTCGTTGCAAAATCAGAAGCTCACAATTGATGCAAGTAAGCACGGTATCCAAACATGTCGAATGGTCAATGTTCTGCACCTAACTACTTCACCAAAAGTCGTTACACTATCCTCACAAAAGAGAATGTTGCTAAAAGAGTTTCTCATTCAAAGCATATCAAGTCAGTCAAAACATCCAAGCTCATTGTGAAGAACTATGCAATTCAACACTAGTGGGGTGATTTTGATGATTTCATTCAAGCACAAACTCATTTTCAAGGCATCACAGTAATTTACATCATGTTACCACAAGAGTACAAGGTTTTGTTTTTTATTTTCCCTGATTTTAGGTGTTTTTTAGACATTAGCTTTGCACAGGCAGCCTGCTTTTTACACAGGCAAACTGCATGCAGTTTGGCTGTGCTCAACCTAATGGCAATTTTTTTTTTTGATTTTTTTGATTTTTTTTACCGACCACATGACAAAAGGAACAAACAAACACTAAGACTCGCCACCCCACACTCAGGATGGAACATTGTCCCTAATGTTCAACTCCTAATCTAAACATGCATGGGTTTGACACAACTAAAAAGAAAAATAAAGAAAAGAAAACTTACCTTGGGTTGCCTCCCAAGAAGTGCTTGTTTAACGTCCTCAGCCTGACGTTCATGGAGCTTTCAACCAATGGGTATGGAAAGGTATCCAGCATACCCTCCCAAGCAATGATAGAACGCATAACCTCCATCCAACATATGAGTCACCTCAGCAGGGCCAGGTGTGCGAAAATTGGGTATGACCTTCTTAGCTTGCATGTTGGACCCTTTAGTGAGGCGTAGGTGGTATTGCAGTGCCTCAAGCAAGTACTCTTCTTGTTTCAATGTCAGTGAAGAAGGAATAATAACAAGAAGATTGAAATCCTTACCCAAATATCTATACTTGAGGTGACCTGGCACTGGTTTTAGTTCCAATTCCGGAGGCTGGACCCGAGATGGAACCATTGTCTTTGGAAACCCAGCCTTTTCATCACCTTCCACCTGCATAGGCAATGCTTCGAGCATTTGTGCCCTCTTTGACACGATTAGCTCATCAAGTTCATTATCAGAATCATCAAACTTAGAATTAGCATCATAATCATTGTTCAAAATAGCATCAGTGCTTGATTCTATGACATCCACCGCAAACACATCACTAGAGTCATTAGGGTACTTACTTGCATGGTATACGTTGAATTTTACCTCTTTCCCACAGACTCTGAATGTCAGCTCCCCCTTTTGGACATCTATGAGAGCACCCCCCGTAGCTAGGAAGGGTTTCCCAAGAATGAGAGGTACTTCCCTGTCCTCCTCCATCTCTAGAATGACGAAGTCGGCGGGGAAGATGAATTTTCCCACCTTCACTAGCACGTGCTCCACCACGCCTTTGGGGACCTTTACTGATCGATCAACCAGCTGTAGAGTAATTCGAGTCGGCTTGATCACATCTTGGAGTCCCAGCTTCTTATAAACAGAATATGGCATGAGGTTTATGCCGGCTCCAAGATCACAAAGCGACTTTGTAAACTCTGTCTCACCAACAATACATGGGATGGTGAAGCTCCCCAGATCCTCCCTCTTCTCTGGAAATTTATTTTGGATCACAACACTACACTCTGGTGTGAGTGTTACTTTCTCCAAATCAGTCCATTTTCTCTTCTTTGTCAACAATTCCTTAAGAAATTTGGCATATGTGGGCATTTTCTCAAGAGCCTCAGCTAGCGGAATGTTGATGTGCAATTGCTTGAAGAGATTCACAAATTTTTTGAAGTTCGGGTCCTCCAAGGGCTTCATCAACCTTTGAGGGAATGGTGCGGGTGGGTCATAAGGTTTTAGCTCCTCCCTCTTCACATTTTCCCCCCGTTGGTTTTGCACGGGGAGGCTGCTTTTGCACAGGCAAACTGCTTTCATTTTGCCTGTGCAAGGCTGATTCCTCATTTTCTGCACAAGATCTTTCTCCCGGTGCTTCCTCTTCTGCCTCTGGTGCCTTTTTTGAGCTGCTAGGGTCTTCCAAGGCCTTTCCACTCCTCAATGTCACTGCCACAACTTTAGCATCTTTTGTATTCCTCTTGGTATTAGCCGGTAATGTCCCAGGAATCCTGCCCGGCATATCCGCCAGAGTTTGAGCCATTTGTCCCATTTGCCTCTCCATAGCTAGCATAGACGATTGTAAATTATTGTTGATGGCTAGCTATTGAGTGAAAAATTGATCCAGACCCTTCAGATTATTGTCGGTTTTCTGCATGTGAGCCAGAAGCAATTCTTCAAGTTGTGGTTTCTTCTCTGGCTGAGGTAGAGGTTGTTGTTTCTGTAGGCCTGGAGGTGGAATGTTGCGAGCACCATTTGGGTTGTTGTTCGCCCAGGAAAAGTTAGGATGCTTCCTCCATTGTGGGTTGTAGGTATTTGAATACATACCACCCTGGCCTTGATTTCGCTGATTGTTGATATAGTGCACATCTTCCAACTAATCAGCCACCAGTGGACATATATCTCTATGATGATCACCTTCACATAATTCACAAAAATCAACCTCCTTCTGTCTACCAAGAGCCATCTTAGCCAGCCTTCGTTCGAGTGCATCGAACTTGGAATCCATCTTAGCATCAATCTTTGCTTCTAAACTTGCAACTCTGTCTATCTCATGCAAGCCTCCTCTCCTTCGAATGCTGGTCTCACTACCCCATTCAGTATCTTCAGAACATATCTTCTCTACCAGTTCATATGCTTCTGGTGCTTCCATTCTTGTGAAACCATTTCGGGAAGCATTATTCAGCGCATCTCGGTATTGTCTTCTGATTCCGTTGAAGAAAATGGAGATCACATTCCAATCTTCAAGACCGTGGCTGGGGCATCTCATTAAAAGCTCCTTATAGCGCTCCCATGCCTCGGTCAGACTTTCGTCTTCAGCTTGTTTAAAAGTGATAATTTCCTCTTGCCTCTTCATTGCCTTGGCAGGAGGAATGTAATTATCCAAAAAGGTCTTCTCAAGCTGACCCCATGTTGTGATGGAACGGGGTGTTAAGATTTGGAACCAGTGTAATGCATTCCCTAGCAGAGAAAATGAGAACATCCGAAGAGGGATGGCATCATCAGACACAGTCGGGCTCTTCATCGTATCACAAATGCTTGCAAACCGGCGGAGATGTTCATGAGGATCCTCAGTGCTGGCCCCCTGAGAAGGTGTACCCATTAGTGATCATATTGATGAAGGCTGGGGTAATCTCCATGTTTGCATCCCCAGCCGGAATGACAACACATGAAGCTCGGGCTCCAGTCTTTCGATTCAAGCGAGCCCTGATCGAACGATCCTGTTCTGCCATGATGACAGGCTCGATGATGCGCGGCGGCGGTGTCGCTGGTGTAGGGATGACAGGTGGTGACACCTGCCTTCTCGGTTGACGATTCTGAGTTAGGGAAGGCCTAGGAGTTGTGGATGTGGTAGGCTGCTTCCCTAACTTGACCTGCTTCTTGTTCTGTCGGCAGGTCCTCTCGATCTCGGGATCTAGTGGCAGTAAATTGCCAGTCGTCCACCTTGGCATGCACGAGGAGGATAAACCTGAAAAATTCACCTGCACACTAACACCCAGATCAAAATAGTTCACTCACAAAAATCAACAAAAATAAGGTATGGCAGTCCCCGGCAACGACGCCAAAAACTTGATAGGGCAAAAGCGTATGCCTTAATCCTATCTCGTAGTAAACCGGATAGTCTGGGTATCGTCTCTCAGGGACTTGTATAACCTTAAATTTTATCAAGTTTGTAGAGCAAACTATAGGTGAAAATGGTTTAATGAGATTATTAACTACTAGCAAAATAATTAAACTAATTAAGCAAAGTAAAATGGTCGGGAGAAAATCAATTGGAGAAAGCTCTGGGAGAAACACCGGGATTCACTACCTATCCTATCCAGATTAATTCACATATTCCAATCAATTTAATCCAACGCTCTACAGCCAGGATATCACGAATGTGCTAGCTATCCCTGTCGGGAATTACTACGTACTAAACAATTAAATCAAATCCTACTGTGTAGCTCAATGACTTAACTATTTATCCTGAAGACCGATATCCTATTTAAGACCGCATAGCACCTTATTTAATCCACTGTTGCTTCGATAAGCTACTATGTCACATGAAATATGTTCAGTTAATAGGGTTTCACTGTCGCTAATAACCTAATTAACTACAAATCAATGTATTGGTGGCCATTCAACACAAAGCATTAAGTAATTTCATGCAATAGAGATTGGAAGAAAAGAACTATGAATCAATCATTCAATTCTAGAAATAGCTACATCCTATGGTGTTTCCCTCAGAAATTGGGGTTTAGTTCATGGCGAAATCAAAAGATATAATCATGTTCTTAATCATCATGAAACTAGTAACGAGAAGAAGAGAAAATACTGATACGAAATAAATGGCAAATTCTGATTTTCACTCCAATTGGCGCTGCTACTGGTGGGCTTCAATTGCTGCTCGCGCTCTTCTCCTCTCGGCGCTGCTCAAATCTTCTATCGCCTCTCTACCGGAACCAAAAAAAGAATTCCCCTCCGATCCCACCTCTCCAATTGCGTGTCCCAAGCTGCTGCCGCGCCCTGCTTTTTTTCTTTCGCCCCAAAATAACAAAAGAGACCCCCAATTAATTGATGTGTCTCGCTCCTTTCTTCTTTTTCCTTTTTTCCAAGAATTTCGGCCTCCAATTTTAATCCCCTGGTCCAGCCAATTCTGTGTCCACCTAGTAGAATTTCATGGCCTAGAATAAATGGCCGCCCTCTCCCTCCATAAAGGCCCAAATCTCATCGTCCCAAACAAGTCCAATTCCGCCAGCATTAATTGAAAGTCCCATCAATTTGGGCTTTGGCCCAATTACTTGTTGTGGAAGAAATATGGATCCAATTCCTCCCGCCATCTCCTACTTCGGAAGTTCCAGTGCTGCCATTTTATCTATCTTTTCACCTAAACACACACCAAAACTCCAACACAAAATGGTAATGGATTTTCAACCATTACGGATTAATTCTCCCTAGAATAACATCAATCGGCTTAAAGATACCATGAAATAGTCACATAAAACTCACGAATCCGATATATTAAAGCCGAATATCATGCGCCATGTTCTTTTGGAGTAGGAGGAACTAGGAATAGAAAGGGAGTCTGCGCAACCCTCGTCGATTCACCAACCAAGAAACAAACTAGTTGCCAACCGGGAAAGAAAGACAATGCTGTCGGAGAGAAAATATACGTCGCCCCACCGCAAACTTCTCATCGGGGCGAGACGACGAGAATTGCAAGGGGCGCGCTGGAGAAGCTTCTACTCATCGGGGGAGGTTTCTTGGGAGCGGCGTTGATAAGGAAAAAACGAAAAAGAAGGAGAAGAGTAGAATAAGGAAAGACACCACTGATTTAGGGCCCCAATAATGAATTTAAGTGAAATTGATACTGTGGATCCCTCCTGAAAATATCCTTCAGCAAAATGGGCCCTTAGATTGGATCCACCAGGTCTTAATGGCCAAAAAGGAGGTAATCACGTTGATTACTCAAAAAAGAGTAACCGTGCTAACTCATTCCTGTATTGTGACATGTGATATTTGTGTGGTAATTGGTCTCAAATAACAGGTTTGACAAATACCACATCCAAATGAACCAATAATGTGTTCGATAATCAACATTTGCAGTAGTGGCTGTCCCCAAACCACAAACATGAAGTTTTTCCCTATTAGCCTCTTGTAACTGCATATCCTAAACAGCTCATAATGAACCAAAATTCATACAGGAGGGTGACATATAGTTAAACACTGCAGAATCTTATATCAACGAGAGTTTGTAAATGTAGCCACCCCTGCAACAAATATGGATATCATTGCACCGTGTATACCCTCTCGAAGTGCCTCATGAACAAGCCTACATATATAGTATAAAGAGTCATGTTACTGACAGGCACTTCAGCTTGTATAAAAGTAGTTGTTGTCGCAGGAGGATATGATGCAACTGGATCAACTTCATAACCAAGTCCTGAGCAACCAGGAGGACGACGAGCAGCTTGTCCTCGATGTGCAAGAGTAGCTTCTTCTTTGTTTTTTGCACTTCTTCGCTATTTTCCAGCTTCTTCTTCCTTACTCAATTCTTCACACATAAAACACGTGTTGTTGATGAAAGTTTAGAAATAAGAGGTAGGTGCGATGATAATAGTTCATAAACTTGTGATTCTAGGAAAATGTGAGGTATTTTGCTATGTTTACATCTAATGCTTAGGCACTCCTAAGCATGCTAGGAGAAAAGCAGAGCCTCAACGCTCACCTTATGCCTAGCACTTTCTTAAATCTTGGTTTCTATCATAACCCCCCTGAGACCAACCTTTCCCTCAAGGTTGATCGATTTCATCCGTTACTCAGCATTGATCGCACAACCTGTGCGTCGACTCCTCTATTTCTTATGCTTCCTTTTCCTCCAATTACGCTCCATCTCTTCAATTGGGCTTCTTGTGTTGATCAAAAGCTTTAAATTTCATTTACAAGGGTCTAATCTTGGCTTCCTTGAAGAATTACAACTTTAATAACTCCTCTTTCTCTAGCATCACACTTCAACAACTTAAGAAATTCAATGGTACATTCTTGTACAAGAATACATCCTTATGTACCAACTCATCAAGACCCTAAAAAAATTTACTTGGAATTATCCCATTAATTAACTTTGTTGCTTTTTTATTTGCATTTGTGTCCCATGCCCTTTTAAAAGACCACCTCTTAACCCAATGAGCCACTCCCTTCTTTCTTTAAGTTGCCTCCTTGCTAAATGGAACCAATAAGACAACCCATTGGCATTGAGGGCCTGAGTATCCCTTGACGATCCGATCCATCAATACCTTGAGAACTACAAGGCCTATTTCTACTCAGCCCACCACTAATCCTTTGCTCTGCTCAAGTCAGCCCAACCCACAAGCCGCTCTGTTGATTATAGCGACCTGTAGCCAGGCCACCCAATCTTCTTTTTGCTAGCCAATGACCAAGACCTACTTGGCCAACTCCCATCGGCCTCACAGACCACTCGACCTATAATAATCGGCCCATACGAGTTCTCCTTCGCTTCTATAAGTAGCCCACCCTAGACGACCAAGGTTTTGCGGGAGAGAACTTGACGCGATTCTCCTCCTCCTCCTCCTTCTTTTCAATCATTGACAACTCATTCTTTATCTCCTCCTCTGGCAAAGAACAACCCTATAGGAGGTGAGGCTACCGACATAGTTTTAGCCTTGACTTCAGCTACTTCTTCGCAGTTGAAGCCGCACCCAACATCTCTATTTTTCGCGCCTCTTGCACTATCTTTGGCACTAACGAATCCATCTAGCGGTCCATCTCTCTTTCATTCTTTTCCTCTTCCTTCGACAATGAGTCCAGTACCCAACGCTTAGGAGACCATTCTGGAGCCACGCTGGTCATTGTCACGAGGGAAGGCGCCTCAAATTGTTGCATTCCTCTCACGTTTGGAAACTATTTAGACCTAATTAGTACAAGGCTGTTGGTGAAGCTCTTCAGACCGCGTACGACCTCCGGTCGGGGGAAGTTGTGCCGAACCCTGCAAGGAAAGGTCCTCAAGTGACTCCTGAGACCTCCTTCGATGCTTAAGCTAGATAAAGAAGTAGAGAGTTATAAATAAGAGAGAGAAAGTAGTGGTTGGAAGTTACCATAAACGCTACCTTCGAGGGGTATTTATACAAGCTTTGGCTGAGGAGATGGCATTTAATGATCTATCGGGCGTCTAGGGACGCCTCTTTCCTGCCGATGCCAAGTGTCATGCATCGGGCGTCGAGCCTGACAAGGTAAGGCGAAACGTCACCTGTGGGGGTTTGGAATTTCAAAATTTTCTTTAAGTGGATTTGGGGGAGATTTTCTCTGCCATTTTTTTATTCTTCTTTTTGAAATCTCTGCGAAAGGTTCAGGGTCCTTAGCCGCTGAGTTCTATAAGATTTGATCGGTTTTCTAGGTAAACCTCTAACTCGCCTCGCGTTGTGTTTGTAGCGTGCATTTTCTTTTTCCTTCTAACCAGTCGCGCTGCTACTTCTTTTCTCGAACACTGCCATTGCTCGCTACTTGGAATTTGTTGGGCTCCTTGTGGCAAAAATGGCGTTCGCCGGTCTCTTCGTCGTTGGTAGATGCCGAGCGAAGATCAGACTATGTCCACTAGTGTGGAGAGGCGTGTCACTGCTACCGTGAGTGACGCACCTGCTGCCGACCCTACCCTGATGGTCATCTGAGAGAAGAATCCGTGAACCTCGGTTGTGCCACAGTCTCCTCATGCCGCCAGGAAAAAAATTGTGGGATCTTTTGGTGGAATTGCTCCCACCACTCAAGGAATAACATGTTCTTTCCCATTTGAACTGCGTCTAAGTGTGTGTGGGATTTATCAGAGCTAGAATTATACATTGGGAGTGGTTCCGAATTGAACGATTGTCTTGTTGGGGTTGCTTTAGACTTAGATAATTATTTTGCTAATATCCACCTTGTACCTGTTGGGGTTGTAGCCACATCGTCCGCAGTTGGGGATAAATTGGGTGAGTTTGAGCGTATAGATTTAGATAGTGTGTCCTTGGATGAAGACAATGTGGTTGGCGGTGATGGTGTGAGCTCGGAGGCGCTTCCTAGCACCTCGTCTTCTTTAGAGATTTCTATCTGCCGATGTTATGGACAAGACCTCTTTATCTACAAGCATGTACCTTGTCTATGTTGGGAGTAGAGCTTTGCTCACATAGTAGACCGACTTGTCTGAACCATCCTATGTTCTTCTCACCAGAACAAAGCTTACAACTTGCATGGAAACTGACAGACAAAGATAAAGTCGCTCTCCTTGGAGGTGGGTGCTCAGAACTGGTGGAGAACTAAGTTGGCGTGTTAATAAGGCAAATGCTTTGTCGTACTCGGCACCCCACTGTAGTCTTGACGCTGATTTTTTGGGTATTTGTCGGCGGACCGCATGATGAATCTTCTGAGGGTGGCCATTTTGGGTTGATGGCTTGAATTTCTTTTATCGACCTCGGCGACTTCAGGCTGAGTATAGAATCTATTTGCTTCGGGTTTGCCTCGATCCCTCTCTTGGTGATCATGAAAACCAAAAATTTACCCACCTTCGCTCCAAAGACGCACTTGAGCAGGTTGAGGGGCAATTTCTGCCGCCACAAATTTTCGAAAGTTTCGCGCAAGTCGGCTAGGTGATCACCGACCTTTTTACTTTTGACTAGGAAGCCATCCACGTACGCCTACATATTTCTTCCCATCCGATCTTTGAATAAAGTGTCAACCATCCTTTGATAGGTGGCCCCAACATTTTTCTGTCCGAAAGGTATGCCGACTTGGCAAAAGTTGCCCATGGGGGTCATGAATGCGGTTAGCTCTTGATCGCTTTCCTCTATCCGAATTTGGTGGTTTATGGAGAACATGTCCAGAAAGGTGAGTGATTCACGATTCCTTCAATGAGCTGGTAAATGAGGGGAAGTGGATAGGCATCCTTGGGACATGCTGTGTTGAGACTAGTGAAGTCAATGCACATCCTCCAAGCACCCCCTGCCTTCTTTACGAAGACGGGATTCGAGAGCCAGGTTGGGTATCTCACTTACCTGATGAAGCCGACCATGAGTAGACGTCAAACCTTTTACTCTAGGGCCATTTAATTCTCTAGTGATAGGTTTCTCCTTAGCTGTTGTATCAGGTCTTCGTTTGGGTTTGACGGATAACCGATGCTCAGAGACCTTTCGTGGGACGCCCGACATGTCTTTTGGACCCCACACAAAAAGATATTGAAATTCCTGGAGAAGCATGAGCATCCTTTGGGCCTCCTTCTTAGTCGATGGGATGAAATTCGTACAGTCTATTTGTGACGCTCTACATCTAACACGAATGCTATATTGCCTTCCAATGCCTCTGGGCAAGGGATGTACCCCCGGACTTCGACGAGATCGTATTCAAGGTTCTCAATTGTTGCTTGATAGCATTCTTTTGCCTCTATAATATTTTCTCAGACGCTTCATGTTTGTCCTCCGCTGGGAAATTTTAACATCTGATGGCACTTGGAGGGAATCTCCTCAACGGTTGTGAGGAAATCGCGTCCCAGAATGACATTGTACGGAGATGGAAAATCGACTATGGAACTCTACTGAACGTGTTTTTGTGACCCCCGCTTCGCCTATTGTGACCTTGAGTGTGATTGACCCGAGAACACACACCTTCATTCCGGAGAAGCCCACCAGACTGGTATTAGAGGGGTGAAGATATTGGACACTCTTTTTCATGCTCTTGAGTGTTGAATAGAAGAGGATGTTTGCAGAACTTACGTTATCCACCATAGAACGGGTGACCTTGAACCTTGCGATTCGGAAGGAAATAACCAGTGGGTCTTCTGCGTTTTCCTCTCTCACTAGCTCAAATGCAAACAAGCACCGTCAGTTGGCACCTTTTGATGGACATTCACGCATTGTGCGATGTGGTCTCTCTCCGACCTCGTGCGCTTTCTGCCCCCGACGATTTTTATAATTATCATTCTGTCTTCATCATTGCACGATTTCCTGTAAGGGGAGAGTGCCGCAGAGGTGAGGGTGCCTTGTTCCGTGAGGGATCTCTTGATCTCTCCTCTCTATTCATCCTCGCTTTGTTGTACTAGGGGCTTCATGACCCTTCATGTGCCTCTTGGGAGTGCTTTCTATGTGGTCGTCTGGTTTCCAAGCGGTTGCAGAGGTCTCCCGGTGCGAGATACTTGAGGCTGGCTCTAAATTCTCTACACTTTGTTGTGTTGTGGGAGGCCACTTGGTTTCACTCGCACCAATTCTTCCCATCTTGCTGTTCTTGCCTGGGAGGCGCATCGTGTTTTTCCCTCCCTTTCTTTTGTCTCTTCCTCGTTATCGGTCAACAGAAAATACTTGCTTTCTGTTATCACGCTCAGAGTACTGAATTCGATACGTTTTTCACTTTGGGGAGCTTCTTCCTCGTTGAGCGTCTCCTCGGTCATGAGTGTCGATTTGAGGGTGAGCCTGCCTATTTTGATCATTGGCGGTTAGCACCTCTTCAAGTAATATAGCTCGCCGGACCAATTGGTCTAGCTCTAACCACGACAAGAGGGTGGATTCCTTTTTAATTAGGGTCCTCTTAAGGTCGATGCTATTTGACGGCATCCTGAGGTTGCCCGCGGCCACCACCGGGGAGATTCCTTGTATTTTGTACGCTATTGCGTTCCTCTAGTTGTAGAAATCTGTCAGCGACTCCTCTTTCCTTTGTCTTTAGTTGATAAAAGCTGAGACTGTGAGTTTGCGTCTCCATTGAGGCACAAAATTCGTCGAGAACAACATAGCGAACTGTTCAAAGTTCTTTATCACACATTCAGGGATGGAGGTGTACCATGTTCTGCACTAACCGTTGAAGGTGACCGGAAACGCACAACATAAGTTCGAATGAAAGGCGTTTACGAGTTGCATCTTTAGCATGAACATACAAAGATGATTCGTGGGATCTGAAGTCCCGCTATAGGCGGGTAGTCCCAGAGATGAGAAGTTTGAAAGTACTGGAGTTTTGAATAACTCTTTCGCCAATGGATTTTGAAGAACGTTCAACCTTTGTGTTTTCCATATGTGGACAATAAGTGTTTCTCGACGAAGATGAGGTCCACATCTTCCGCCTCCATTCCCCGGCCTTCTATCTCAGGAGGGTTGTCAGGGATGAGAATGACCTTCTGTTTCTCCTCCCGCGGTCTTCCTTTTGAGGTTTTGGCAGGTTCTTCTTTTTGCCTTCAAGAGGTGAAGTAATTGGTCGAGGCTATACTGCATGCTTGCGATTTGTTGTCCATGACTTTTGACAACCTCCTCTAGCTCCGTCTCGTTCATGATCCTTAGAGATATATCCCTCAGAGTGTTGTTTTCGACCATTCCTATGAGCGGGGTTTCGAACTCGTCCCACGGTGGGCGCCAAATTGTTTAGGCCTGATTAGTACTAGGCTATTGGAGAAGCTCTTCAGATCACGTACGAACTCCAGTCGAGGGCTGTCGTGCCAAACCCTGCAAGAAAAGGTCATCAGGGGAATCCTGGGACCTCATATGATGCTTAAGTTAGAGAGAGAAGTAGATAGTTGTAATTAAGAGAGAGAAAATAGTGGTTGGAAGTTACCATAAATGCTACCCTTTGAGGCGTATTTATACTAGCTTTGGCTGAAGAGATGACTTTTAATGATCTGTCCGGCGTCTAGGGATGCCTCCAGATTCATTAAATGCATATTCAGAGTGTACCTATGTTAGTCTCCGAACTGGGGAGTCAGGAAGCCGTTAGACCTTTATGTCGGGCGGTCTTCTAGGTTCTGCGTGCCTCAATGAAGACCGCCTCCGGATGGGCTCCAGTGGGTATTCTTGTCTATTTGGGCATAGTCTGATTATTTATGGGCTTTTAATGACTATGTGCTTGGGGCCCACGCGTCTCATTGCTTGGCCCAACAACAACCCCGACGATTCAAGCCCACGGTCCGCTGCCGTCCTATTTCTCATTGTCATTCGCTGCCATGACTAAGCTCAGCCAATGGCACGCTATGACACAACACCAAACTGCGACCAAGTTTAATCGCAGAATGGAAATGCAGAATAGTGGTAAGTTTAATTTATCAACCTGGGGTCTAGATCTACTGCCTACTCCGTGATTATCTATTATCTAACGGGACTAAGTTTAGTGAGAGTAATTGTAAACAAAAGCAGTAAGAAAGCAAGAAGTTGTTCGGTTTTCAAAAGCAAGGGGAGAGTCACTCGGGAATGAGTCTCCCTAGCTCCTTAGTTAGGTATAAGTTGTAATGTCCTTAGGTTGATTTACTGTTGATTAAACTGCGGGAGATCCGACAGTAGCTTGGAATCTCTTAAGCTAACCAAGCCCTCTTAGACAGACTAACCAGTAGATGACTAGTCTTCAGCGGGATAGAAAGTTAAGGCAATTAACACAGAACTCCACTACTGGAATTGGCTTCCAGTACAAACAGTGAATCGATTAACTCTCATATAATCAATTCACTACTACCGATTAAAGAAGCTCTAACAACCTAATCAAATTCTATCTATGTCAGGTTGCAGCAAAAATCAAGAAAAGTTTATCAGGCTTCAATTGACTCAATAAACACACTTCAATCGATTATAATCAAGCAGTATCTTAAACCAGTACCGTGGGCCCCGACCATTTGACCGGAGGAAGGTGAGGTATGAAATTTGATAATGTAATGTGGGTGTATAGCTTATTGTTGTATAGTTTTTTTTTTGGGAAACATGTGATAAAAATAGTGAATTTTAGTAGGAAAGAGATATGAATGATGCAACGAATCAAAAATCAGCCTTATGAACCAAAATCAAGTACCTATTACCTTGTGAAACAATATTGTTTCTGGTAATATGATGAGGTAGAGTAAGTTTTATAGAAACCGAATTCCAGAAAATCGAATAAAAAATTGCCTATACCGCCGGTTTTCGGGAAATGAGCATCTCACAATCGTTGCTAGCTTTTACTCGGCCCGTTGGCCGATTAATTTGCTTTATAAAACTTTCATCTTGTCATCATTGTGTTTTCTGATTTTTGCCAAGCCATGATAAAATCTAAAGAAATTAAGAATGAACAACACAATTTGGGATAGGAACCACCATTCCTGTATCCCTAGAAAATGATGGTAAACACGGGCTCACCTGCCAAACTGGCTTAGATTGAGATTTTTATTGGGTATCAGAGAACCATGTGATTATAAGTTAGACTTGATCAAAACAGGCCAAAACTTGAAATTCAGCATGTTTGACCGACCCATGCCAAACTCTAATTATTCTTTACTTTTAAACTTTCTATTTGAAAATAAAAAATAATGAAAGAAAAGAGATGATTGCAATTCGCCATTTTCACATCACTGATTCGGGAATAAAACTATAGAAATTCGAAAGGAAACTGAAAATGTTTAGGAACGTTTTAATGTTAAAAATAACCAAATAGAACTTTTTGTTTAGTTTTTTACTAATAAATACCAAACGATTCCCTATAATATACATTATAATTTAATCATTATGATATCAAATAATTACATAATATATATTTGAAATGATAAAAATTGGACTAATTGGGTTGGTCGATGTTGAACCATTGAATAACTTTAAAATACATTATATTTTAGCCACTAAGATATAAAATAATAGCATAATATAAATTATGCTAGATAAAATAGCTTGTTTTAGAATGACAAACCCATGATGTTCATTTGTTTTACTTGATGGGCAAATCCCGTGTAGGTCAGACCCATTCAACTCTTTTATAATATGATTAGCGGTTAGCCCATTAGAATCCATGCATTAGTTTATTGTTAATTTTTTTTGTTTTTAGCAATAAAAAGGAATATTGTTTTTGACTTTTCATATATATTTTACCACCACAGAGAAATAAAAGGACTTAAAGAAAAAAATTGACACTACTGGACCCGTTTAAATCCGCATGTGTACGGTAAGTTGGCCCGTTCCATAGAGGAAAAAGAAAAAAAATTGGCACTCCCTATTCTACATTTCTACCCTTCCTACAAACGCTCCTGGAGCAGGAAATTTGAAATGGGGGAAGGGTTTTTTCCTCTTTGAAATTATATATTTTTAATTTAAAAAGATAGAACAAATTCTAGTAAGTGTCTTTTTAATGAATAAAAAAAAGAAATTGTGAAGACCAAAATGCCCATCCTACTTTTACTCTGGATGCAGGAAATTTGAAATGGAGCTTAAAGTTTTCTCATTTGGCTTTTATTTATTGTGTAGAAAAGTCATTACAAACATGATCCCTAACACATGGAACTAGGGTTCTTCATACCCAAGTGAGAGAAGGGTCTACTCCATAGAGAGAGAGAGAGAGAGAGAGAGAGAGAGAGAGAGAGAGAGAGAGGGAAACATAATTCAAAGCAGTCATAAATGGTGGAAAGAATATGCTCTGGGATGATAATCTTCACTCCAAGGACGAAATCCAAGCATGATTGATGAAACCCAACTCCAAAATCAATCCTAGGGTTTGTTCTTCGCACTTTCTCTCTCTAGGACTCTGTTTTTGCTCCGAAAATTCATCTCCCTCTTCAAAGTCCCAAAATTGGGTTAAGAAGCAGTTGTTCGTGATTGCACGGTCAGACCGCACGGCCGTGCAATTTCATAGTCTGCTCGTGCACCTTCAAAATGCGTCGTTTCATTTAATTCCAACAGGGGCGGTGCACGGCCAGTGGACGACCCATGCAATGCGAGAGCCTGGACATGCAATCCTCTCGCAAAAATCATCACGGTCACCACTTCGTATCGCACGACCGTGCGAAAAACAGGGTCAGGCCGTGCAGCTTCTCGGTAAATCCTGCACGGCCACAAAGGCCACTATGCACAACCATTCGCTTTCCCATCCTGGCCGTGTGACTTGTCTGATCTCTCTTCGCTCGTCCCGATTTTGCCAATTCGACTCCAAACTCATGCTCAAACTTACATTCACGCATTAAGATTTGAAATGTCATAAGCAAGAACAACCTAGCGTAAAATCAGCTTAAAACCCGAGATCTGAACCTCAAAAAGTATAAGAATGGCGGACAAAACATGTGTAAATATCGATTCATCAAATTCCCGCAACAAGCAAACCTGACTCAAACCAATGCAGCTCTCCAGACCTTTACAGTAACAAGAAACCCCAAGGTTGAAATTTGTCTTAAGAGGGGAGGGAATGGGATACCTAAACTTCGATTTAAGGTCCAAAAACAAGTACTGAATGAGCTGGACCAATAAATTAACTCGAAATTTTGTCCCATCACGGCCTCGACCTAGACTGGGGAATTAAAAAGGACAAGTAGCCACTCAAAGATACTCGATGCTAACGAGATTGGTGATAATACCTTTTATGGTCCAGAGGAAATATAAGAAGTGAGATAGACTATACGGGACAAGCAACGGGCATCATTGAAATTCATATAGCAAGAGTGAATTATTGAGCCAAGGAAGCACGAGAATGAGGATATGGAAGGATGATTCCGAGCAAATTTCGGGAACGAAATTTTTTATAAGGGTGGAGGAAATGTAACGCCCGGATATTTGAGTCTAGGTTCAACCGATTGGTTAGATTGACGATTACGTACAAAGGATTGCAACCATTAATTAGAAATAATAATAATAATCATCACGAAGGATTACGTACGAAGGCGATGGTTGAGAAGCAGGGTGGTTAATTGGATAAGGGCCATCCTTTGTTCATGGAGTCAATATTTGGACGGTTAGACAACTGCGGTAATACGTTCTACCTAAGATACAATCTCATATGGGTGATCCCTTGATTATATTTAGCTAGGGGGAATCACAATGTGCTAAATACCACTTAGATGCTAAGAGATTTTGTGGAGCAATTAGATGGGTACAATGTTATACGTGAAGAGGGATTAACATAGGTGGGGTTTAAGAATCAAGGATGAGCCACGTAAGTAAATGGATGGTTTCCCATTACAAATACTAAAGAGAAGTGGGCATGGAAATGCATAGGTATAAGACACGTAGGTTATATGAAGAAAGGCATTGGAAATTGAGTAGTAGCTTAATGGGTAAGCAATCCAATCTCCTGGTAGTGATTGTTATCTAGTTTGATAAATCATGTATCGAGGTGATGGAGTTACCATGGATGATGGGAGCAAGAGGCTTATGATGGCAGATCGAGATACCAGGCTAGATGGCTCAGAGGTTAATTGTGTTGTTCAAAGTGAGTGTAAAGGGACCCCCAGTCGTAGGTCTTTAATTTATGTTTTTATTTTTAGTAATGTTGGCTAATTTTATATGTATGCGCGATTATGTGTGGAGGCATCCCACCGCCTACTGAAGGTGGAGGCACACGTTGTGCTATGTATGTGAATGTGTGTGGTTATTGGTATGATGAACCCCCGGGCAGTTGGGCCACTACTGGACGCGGTAGATGGTCGGGTCACTACTGGACGGCGACACGTAACGCAGTAGTTGGCCGGGCATGGACTGGACGGCGATACGTAACGCAGTACCATTGCCTTGAGGATAGGGACACTAGACAGCCATACGTAACGCGGTGATTCCCTAGTAATAAGTATATAAGTTAAGGTAGTAGTAGAGAACTTCTATGATTTAAGGATAAAAGTTGAGAACCTCTATGCGTTAAAGTTGAAATGAGTTATTAAGGATGAAAGTGAGAACGACTTTCATCTAAGGAAAGGATACGCTAATAACGTGTTTTAGTAAGAATGTTGCTTAGGGCAAGACCTTAGGAAGTAACGACGAGACTGACCCCTTCCCACTCACCAGGTTAAGGAGGGGTTAGTGGAAGCGGATCCTGAGAAGAGGGAGGGCGAGACAAGTTGCCGCACCAGCATGGACGAGACCTCAGGGAAAACAGCAAGGAGTTAGAGCTAGATTTAGTTTAATTATTTTGTTCATGATTATGAGTTTATGTACTGGACATTCAAGGTTCAAGATTCTGTGTTAAGTTGTTTGAAGTGTTTGAGATTGAGATTTTGCCCAAGTGTTAGGGATTTTCGTTTGAAATTCTTAAATAATGTCATTTGTTTATTTTAAAAAGTGGTTCGGGTTGCTCTGGAGTAACCGGTTTCGATTTGAGTTATGGTTTGGTTTTCGAAAAAAGATCGGGTTGTTACACATCTTAGCTTCAACTTGTAGGCCTATGATAACGTCGTATTTGCACATATTTGCACCCTCGTTTCTTCATCATTTTGGCTAGAGTTTTTAATTTCTTGGACTATTTTACGCTAGGTTGTGTTCCTTTGTCACATTTCAGATCCTAGCATGTAAATTGGAGCAAATTGGAGCAAAGGCGCAAGTTTCAAGTCAATCGGAATTCATTTGGCAATTCGGGAGAAGAAACACGAGCATGACCTGAGGAAGAATGGATTTATACCTCATATTATGGACAAATAATCATAGAATCTTGTCATGAAAAGAAAGAGGACGAGACTACGAGCGTCTGGGTTCAAACGACGACTAATTCGGAGTCCGGACGAGGGAGAAACGAAGCATTAAACAGGAGCGGAGGAAAAATTACGGGCAGCCCCTGCCCAATTACGGGCGTAATTGCTTCTGTCATGCCCGTAAATGCAATGCCGAGCCTAAATCCCTGAGAATTCCTGTCGCAGAGCAAATTACGGGCAAGAGTGGACTCATTTACGGTCGTAATTACTTAAATACTGGCAGTAATTGGGTAATTACGACCGTAATTACCTTCCTCAGAGTTTAGTGAAACGCGCGTTTTGGGTGAATTACGGGCAGACCATGATTACGACCGTAATTCAGCCCGTATTTCACCCAGAATCGGGTTTTTGAGGCAGATTCGAGCCAAAGGAGAGGGAGTCGACTTTTTGGAGCAAAAACAAAGTTTTAGAGAGAGAAAGTGCGAAGAACAAACCCTAGGAGCTATTTGGAGTGGATTTCTCACCATTGAAGCCCAGATTGCATCCCCAGGAGTGAAGATCATCATCCCATAGCAGATTATCCTCATCTTTATGAGTATGACTACTCTGATTTCTGTTTTCTTCTCTATGGAGTAGAACTTTCTCTCACTTGGGTATGAAGAACCCTAGTTCCATGTGTTAGGAATCTTGATTGTAATTACGTTTAGATTGTGATATTGCTTGATATAATCGATTGAAGTGTTTTGATTGAGTCAATTGAAGTCTAATAATCTTTTATTGATTTCTGCTGCAACCTGAGATAGATAGAATCTGATTAGGTTGTTAAAACTTCTCCAATCGGTAGTAGTGAATCGATTATTCGAGAGTTAGTCGATTCACTGCTTTGTACTGGAATCTAATTCCAGTAGTGGACTTCTGTTTTCATTGCCTCAACGTTTTATCCCGGTGAAGACTAGTCGTCTGCCGGGTAGTTTGACTGAGAGGGCTTGGTCAGCTTAAGAGATTCCAAGCTACTGTCGGATCTTTCGCAGTATAATCAGCAGTAAAACAACCCAAAGTAATTACAACTGTGACCTAACTAAGGAGCTAGGAGGACTCATTCCCGAGTGACTCTTTCCTTGCTTTAGAAAACCGAACCATTTCCTGCTTTCTTACTCCTTTTAGTTAAAATCACAATCACTCGACTTAGTTTGCTAGATAATAGATAATCACGAAGTAGGCAGTAGATCTAGACCCCGGCTTGACAATTAGAGCTTGCCTGTTACTGCATTTCCGGACTGCGATTACACTTGGTCGCAGTTTGGTGTTGCATTTTAGCGTGTCAGCCTACCCCACTAAGGATCACTAAAATCTCTTCCAAAACCCGATTTTGTGCAATGAAACGGTGCCACACACGTTGGGCTTACCCCATGTTTTAGAAATTTCAAATTTTTGACATGGAGGACCAACTGCTTTTTCATTTCATACATGAGCACCCTTTTCCTATACACGAGTCCACAACACAACATAAGGAGAGCCATCAATACCACATGAATCAACGGTCCTAAATCCACTAGTTCAAAAAATCATCCGACACAGTAGATAGACAGATAGAAAAAATCTTATACTTCAACATCCTCCATAGCGCTACAACTACCTCCCTAGGTTGCATATCACCATAAAGGCTGTCAATTCAAAGCATACTGAGCAGGGTATTGTAGGGAACAGTACTTGGAGCCCTCATTTCATCAAATTGGACAATGGACTAGGATCCAAGCACACAAACTCATCTATGCAGTCAAAGATAAACACCCCCCCACACTTAAGCACGACATTGCCTTCAATGGAGAAGATGGAAAGATGAGGGGAACGATGTTACCGGGAAAACGGACTGCCGGGGGACTGGAAATGGGACCAGTCATCAGGGACAGACGAAACGAAGGACCAGTTCAGAGATGGAACACGAATAAAAACACTAGCACACCGTGCATTAGGGATCAGTGTCAGCCCAAATGGGCACAAAAGAAAAACACACAAAAGACTCAATTGAAGCTCCGCACACACATGGAGCAAAGAAAATACTCAAAACACACAAAAACACTCAAGGGCCGATGAGTACAGACTACCCGTTGCCCAGGTTGTCGAAGCTGATGTCCGCCATGAACGCATCATCATCGGTAGGATGGGGTGGAAGTGGTGAATCCTCCCAAGGAGTCCTCCAAACTAGCGGCTCACCCGGTATCAGCTGGAGCAGGTGCTGCTGCACCTCCTCTATCCGGCAAGCCTATCTACGCTCCCGCTCAATGTGAGCAAGGGTGACCCCTTGGTGAGTCTCTATGCTGTCCAGGCACTCGTCATATGTCGCCATACGTGCAGCGTACTCAGCTTGATGAGCCACCTACTACTGCTGGAACTGGTAGTCGTTGATCTGCTGGTTCTAGAGACCCAACTGCTAGAACTGGAGACCCATCTCGTGAAACTGGTGGGAGAAGTAGTCCTGAGATTGAACAGAGGAGCTACTACCTGCCTGGTCATTAGTGTGGTGGGGAAAGTCCATGTGGTCAGTAGCAACGTCCACATCCTCCGGCTCCTCATCCTGAGCCCCCTCAACGGCGTCGGGGATGGCCGGGACAAGCAGTCCCTCGACCCACTGGACCCCGCGGGACACTCGTAGCAGGTGCATCTTCGCAACAGTGGGGGCGCCAAAAAGCTTCTACCTTGCCCTCCATATTCAAGTCCTCAAACCCAATGCCGAGGTGGGAGGCCATGATGGTGATGAGATGCGTGCAGGGCAGGGTCCCCCGGGTAGCAGCAGCCTTGGCGAAGGTGGTCGCCAAGACTGATCCCAAATGCAGGTTATGGAATCTGTCGCTCATGGAGTGCAGGAAATACCCCGACCGCTTAGTTAGTGAGCTGGTTGGCTCAATGCTGGGGACGTAGGGTGGTGGCATTGGTTCGCCCGGCATTGAAAAGACCTGTGTGATGGGGAGGCCGTGCCATCTAGCGGTAAACGGTCAGAAAATCGAACCCCGTCGGAATGACCTCCTCCAAGACGAAGTCGTCGTTCGGATGGGGCAGAACACTGAAAGCAGCAGCAAAATCATGGTAGCTCATGGAGTGGTACTCCCCACCCAGCCGGAACCGGATATCGCCCTCTGCCCGGTAGTTATCGGTCTCCCGGTGCTCAAAAGTAGAGTAAAACTTGATCACCAGCTCGTGAATGACCTGCCCGCACAGGTCCACCAGAGTGCGCCAAGCGCGGTTGTACACGACCTTCGCGAGGGAGTCGTAGCAGTTGATGGTCCGCAGAGCCCTCTTGCTCCAGTAGAAGTGTTGGCCCATCTTGGCCGCCAAAACCTTCTTGAACTTGGCTTTGTGTGGCCCAGATTTCAAGTCAACGATGAACCAGTGCCTAAAATTTTGCTTTGACATGATCCTGCAACAAAACCAAACCAAAGTGGTGCCAAAAAAAAGAGCCAAGTGTAGGTTAGTACACCCATACACTTAAATTCAGCCACAAAAGAACCATGTTGCCACCCCATAGTTCACATAGGAAAAACTCAAAACACCGAAACTTATTCAAGAGGGGGGGGGGGGGGTGCCTCCAATCATGAAAATAGATAACACGTTGTTCGCAATCATGCCAATCACACACACAGTGTATGTCATTAAGGCCACCAAACAGCCCCCACAACAGGGTATGAAAAACAGGCATTTCACTGAGCTCCTTGTGGGCATGAATCAAAATCATAAGAAAACACCCAAATCCACCACACAAGGGTTCTATTGATTGAAAAACACAATTCACAACATGCCTAATAGTCAACCCTAGCCTTCCCCTCAACCAATTTCGATCTATTCATACATGCAATTCGATTCTCTAACGAAATAACCTACACCCAATTCTCCAAATTCACAAGGTAGAAGTCAAAATTAAACATGGAGAGACAAGTGAGGTGTAGGGGAAGGTGAGGAGAATGAAACGAAAATGACGGATCGCCAAATTCTGCCTGGAAGTCGCTCGTAAGAGCCTTGCCGGAGTGTCGCAAGAAATCGCCTCTAGTGACCCAAACTCGACCCAAAGTAGCCCAAAACGGGAGGACGGGAAGATCAGATGAGGTAAATAATGGGTCTGTAATTAGTTTCGAGATAAATCACCGAAAACGGCTGGAAATCGACTGGAGAAGTTGAAAAACCGTGGTTTTCCGGCGAGGGAGAGAGGATTCAGACGAGTGGGAGGTGGTTTCTGGCAAGGCACGGCCGTGCGGTCTCTAATTATAGATGCCGTACGCGTTGCACGACCAAAGTCCACGGCCGTGCGTTGCGCCAGGCTGCCCGTGTGAAATTCAGCGAGGCCAGGCACGGGCAAGTAAACCAAGTTGCACAGCCGTGCGTCTCCCTATTATGGTCGTGGAACATTCCAGCAGCCCCGGTTCAGACGATTTTCACCAAAGTGAGACGGGAGGAGACATCGACACACACGACACGACTCACAAACAAAAAAAAAAGGGAAAAGAAAGACAAAGCCAATTGGGGTTGCCTCCCTACAAGCGCTTCTTTACCGTCTTTTAGTTGGACGCAGAGGGTGGATGCTCAAAGCGGTGTAGGAACATGTGCCTCCAAGAGCGGATCCACATCGCTCTTGAGGTACAACTTCAGATGCTGGCCATGCACGTGACGGAGGTGACCACCAACACTTGTCAACTCGACCTGGCCATCCTGCAGGATGCAAGCGAGTGAATATGCGGATGGCCAGGGCAGTCGTGGCTTAGGAGCCGGGACCAGCTCATAGTGGTCTCCAGCTTTCTTTTGAGCATGCTTAGCTACCTACAGCTTCGGCCGCCACTCCTCCTTAGTCCCCTCTTTTGGTAACTGAGAAAGCGGGGATGGTGGAGGAGGAGGGGGTGCAAAGTCCTGCAAAATGGGAGACACCAAAGGATACATGACAACCTCGTGTACCTGGTGAGATAAAGCATGCACAGGTGAGATAACATTCATACTATTAGCAATGGAAAATGTTATCTACTCCTCGCCATCTCTCAAAATCAGGGTCTCATCATGCACATTTATGAGAGCCTTGGCGGTGGATCGGAAAGGCCTACCTAGAATAAGGGGCACTTCCGCATCTTCATTGATGTCTAAGACAGCAAAATCCACAGGATAAAAGAATATATCAACCTTAACCAGGAGGTCTTCCACTATGCCCCTAGGATGAACTACAGATTGGTAAGCTAATTGAATACTCATCCTAGTTGCACTTGGTTCACCTAGGCCTAGTTTCTTGAACAATTTAAATGGTATAACATTGGTACTAGAGCCTAAATCCGCCAAGGACCTCTCTACATGCAAATCACCAATAGAACACGGGATAGTAAAACTACATGGGTCCTTCTACTTCTGCCGGAGCTTGTTCTGCAAGATGGCCGAACACTCCTCGCTGAGCTTCAAAGTGGCTAGGTCGCTCAGCTTCTACTTTTTTGAGAGAAGATCCTTCAGGAACTTCGCATACTTAGGCATTTGAGATAGTGCCTCCAGGAAGAGCACTTGAACATTCAACTTCCTAAGCATGGACATGAAGTTCCTGAACTCTGCCTCTAGCCGGTTGATAAGCCGTTAATTGCACATGTTTTTACCCCTATTCTGGAGCCGTTTGAGATGGTAATTCTCGTGTTTAGGCCGATTTCACGCTAGGTTGTGTTTGTTTGTGATATTTCAGGTCCTAGCAAGTGAATGAAGGTTTAGGAGCGAGTTCGGGGTCGATTGGACGAAGATCGGGCGCGAGGCAAGTCAAAAAGGAAGCCACACG